AATTTTCTTTTCCTGAAGGAATGTTTCAAACATAGCCCATGACTGTGGAAGCTCTTCACCCCAGTGATCAAGCTTACACACAACATCAGCAATGGACAGCTTAAGTTTTTCAATGCTTTCATTGTCATGGAATCCGACGGCAAATCGTCGTTTTACATCAATATGTTTTTGCAAAGACTTCTTCTTCATGTCAAGAGTCTTCCATACTTCTCAAAAAACAATTCTTTTTCCTAACGAAAACAAATTCCTTATTTTATTTTGTGCTAAAAAAACTTAGTCATAGTAAAATAAGGTTCATAATCATATAATGGTTGTTAATGTTTTGTTCCCACAGAGTTTATGAAACACATACTTGTATATATTATATTAAATATTTACAGATCAGAAAAACCATAACAAGTGAAAGTAAAATATTTGTGTAAATAATAAATAACTTTACAGTATTCAAAAATGACACCTTTTCTGTTTTGTTCTCACAGTGTGAACCAACCAGGATGACAGGAGCCTTATCACTGCCATATTGATGAATTGACTTCATCCAGAATTCTAGATAATCTGAAAATCAAAGAAACATTGAGTTGTAAGAGTTTTCTTTAAGATAGATTGCAGGACATGATGGCAGACATAAATGAGACACTCTATATGTCAGAGCCATATTCAAGGAGGGTCATTGATGAAACAAACTTATTGTCTTCGTAAAGCTGCACAGAAAGACAAACAAAATAAAACTAGAAAACTGACCAGTCAGCAAGGGCCCCGCCATGGGGTAGAATTAAAAGGGTGCAGCTTACAGAATGATTAATAAATGTACAAAGAAAAAGCAACAGCAACTGTATTCTTGAAATTTCAACATAATTCCTGAATATTCAAAAACCTGAAAATAATATTCTTGTAAAGGATGAGGTGACTTGCGGCCCCTCGTATATTGACAAAAAATTAAATGTCTTAATTTTACTCAAATTTTTGTATGTAACTTATCACTGATATGAATACCTTTATAGAATACTACTTTTAACAAAAATAGAAACGTGATTTGAAAGATATAGATCTTAGAATGGGGTAGGGGTATCATGTTTACATTCAATTCCCATTGCATTTTAACCCCGCCCCACTCTTTGAAGCCCTTAAAATATACGAGCGCAGATAGGTACAATTTTCTCCTTTGGCTGGTCACTGTATTTCATTGAAATCTACCTATATGTGAAAGGAGAAAATTGTACCTAACTGCGCTCACATGCTATTTTTTAAAAAATTGTAAAATCTAGTTGCCCTTTCCCATTATAAACAGATCGACGGAACTAGATTTTCTGACGTAAGAATGAATTCATTTGCTAATAGAGGCACAAGCGATACTTTCTAACTGACCAATCAGCTAAATGAAATTCGTTACGAGTGAGTAACACAAAAATACTATGGAAACATACTTGTAATTTTACTGCTTTCCGATATTTTTTATGCATTTGAGTCACAGATTAAACACGGATCTACATATGTACCATTTCCGAGACCACAGTAAAATTTATATACAGTTACAAACAATTGATAGAATATACATGATATACATTAGTTAAGTTTTGTAGCATGTTTGGTGAGCAATGCGCTACATGTAGGTCTACACGTATTCCCGAGTATCGGTGAATACATGTTTTATGTGCATTTCTCGTCCTAAAAACCATGTATGCTGAAAATCCATGCATATTATGCGTATTTAAACAGAATTGGCTGACCATTATAAAAGTTTGAAATGTAGAAAAGGATAACAGGTAAATTGACCTAAACCACGTGTAGACCTGCGATAAAATGTAAACGTACTAAACCAGCATGTTTTGTTGTTCTGTCATCGGATTGGACAATGACTAAGTGCGAAATAATAACAATAGCCATATAAGGTCTTCTAAGAGACACGCATATCCCTCTAATGTACTAAGACACGCCCATTTTCTTGCCATAAAAGAATATATTCTCACAAACCTGGCCGAATTTAGCTGTGATAGGGTCTCAAAAATCAAAGATAATGCACCATTCCTTATAATTAAAATGTGTCTGAACTATTGAAACTATTCAAAAGGCGTCGTATTTATTCACTCATGTTTGAAAACTACCAACATTGTTGTAGATTAAATATAATTCGTCGTGGAAAAAGGGGCCCCAGATACCAGTTATGTCACCTCATCCTTTACATTAGGCAGTCAAGAACAACTTAACATTGAATTTATATTTAAACAATTATGAATCTTGTGTTATATAAAATGCCAGCCTTCAATGAATGCAAATATCATGAAGGCTTGACCTTAACTTCAAACAAACAGCAGTTGCAGACAAAGGTTTTCATTAATCTTAAAGTGACAGATAAAGAGAAGCCTACTTAATTTTCTGCAGCAGGCTAGATAATTAATCCCAAGGGATTAATTGTACCTCTCTCATCATTTTCTTGTAAAGTTACAATAAGAACTATATCAATATTAATGATAGAATGGGTTTTTTATACAACTACATTAAAAATTAAAAACATTCTTGAATTAATATATTTAAAAAAAAAGGGAAAAAAGTGAAAAAAAGTACCCTTGTAAATCAAAAAATCTTCTTTAATCTATCTCTTGTTTTTAGAATTCTATCAATCATAACTATTAAACAAAAGTAAATTATACAAATTTATATTTAAATCCACATTTCGGAGTGTTCATAGCATTCCAAATTGACTTAACTTCAAAACAAACTTTATTTGCAGACAGAGGTGGTAATTAATCTCAATGTGACAGATAAAGATAATGCTCTGGATTTTCTTCAGGAGGAAAGCTAATTTATGACATGGGACTCCTAGTAGCATTCAGTTTACTGAATGGGAACATCTTCAGCAGTTATCTCTCTTTGCCAATGCATTCTTATATAAAGTTAAGGAATCTACCCCACCACCCCAGCTCCAAACTAAAAGACATAGAGAATCAAACTTAGCATCAAAATATGTATTTCTGCCTATTAAACTACCATACCAAATTTAAACTTGATTGGGCAACCATAAAAAAAGTTATTAGAAAAAACAGAAAATTTGTGGACGGAAGAGTGACAGACGGACAGACGGACAAACACACATTTGGTTATATATTGGGTACATCAAGTCCAAGTCCTATTGGATACTGCTTATTGGATACAAAAAAAGTGTACACACGAGAGAGCATTATTTGGGTAGTTACTGTTCAAATCTTATTGGATATTAATCCTTGTGTCCGTATTTTATTGGGTTTTTCTTATTGTTTTTTATTCATTTCAAATTTATTATATATTTAATATTTGCTGGTAAATTCAGACAAGACTGAAAACCTTTGGTTTTGAACCCATATTTTTGTCAATTTCTGTGATATAGCTCTTTTATTATAACACATAACAAATTTGTTCTTAGCAATTAGGATATTCACCTGTATATTTCAAAATAACTAATATTAAAATATATGAATACCTAAGTGCAAAAAAAAAAAAAAAACAACTGAATTCTGAAAACACAACTCAACACATCCCAGATTCTGTTCAACCTTTCTTGAATAACAAAATTAAGTATTTAAGGAGAAACCTTTTGAGTCATGACCAATAAGCAAATGCCCATTACATGTTGGACAGAATGAAGGTATCCAACAGGCATTGGACAGGTGTCCAATACCTGTTGGGTTGTATTTTGACGAAGGGATTAAACTACCCAAGAACAATTGAACATGTGTACATTGTCCAATTCTATTTGGGTTTCTTGAATCTCCTCATCAAAATACAACCCAACAGGTAATGGACACCTGTCCAACTCTTCTTAGATATCTACATCCCACCCAAAAGGAAAAGGACACTTGTCCAATTCTCTTCTTGGGTTTTTTAAAATGTTTCATCAGAATACCACGCAACAGGTAATGGACATCTGTCCAACTCCTCTTGGATATCTACATCCCACCCAACAGGCAATGGACACTTGTCTAATTCTTGGGTTTCTTAAATTGCATCATCAAAATACAACCCAACAGGTAATTGACACCTGTCCAACTCCTCTTGGATATTTACATCCCACCCAACAGGTAATGGACACTTGTCCAATTCTTCTTGGGTTTCTTGAATTGTTTCATCAGAATACCACCCAACAGGTGATGGACATCCGTCCAACTCCTCTTGGATATCTCGCCCCACCCAACAGACAAATGACACTTGTCTAATTCTTGGGTTTCTTGAATCTCCTCATAAAAAACAACCCAACAGGTAATGGACACCTGTCCAACTCCTCTTGGATATCTACATCCCACCCAACAGGTAATGGACACTTGTCCAATTCTTCTTGGGTTTCTGGAATTGTTTCATCAGAATACCACCCAACAGGTAATGGACATCTGTCCAACTCCTCTTGGATATATACATCCTACCCAACAGGCAATGGTCACTTGTCTAATTCTTGGGTTTCTTGAATTGCATCATCAAAATACAACCCAACAGGTAATAGACACCTGTCCAACTCCTCTTGGATATCTACATCCCACACAACAGGTAATGGACAATTGTCCAATTCTTCTTGGGTTTCTTGAATTGTTTCATCAGAATACCACCCAACATATAATGGACACCTGTCCAACTCCTCTTGGGTATCTACATCTCACCCAACAGGTTATGGACACTTGTCCAATTCTTCTTGGGTTTCTTGAATTGTTTCATCAGAATACCATCCAACAGGTAATGGACATCCGTCCAACTCCTCTTGGATATCTACATCCCACCCAACAGGCAATGGACACTTGTCTAATTCTTGGGTTTCTTGAGAATCCCCTCATCAGATTACTACCCAACATGTAATGGACACCTGTCCGATTCCTCTTGGATATCTTCATCCCTTCAATAGTATATAAACTAAAAGGTATTGGACATTCTTCTTGGGTTACTCAAATTTTTTTTTCATAAGAAAGAAAACCCAATAGGTATTGAACATTGGTTCAACTCTTCTTGGATATTACATCCCAACATTAGAATAAAACCCAACAGGTGATGTTTAACTGTCCAATTCTTCTTGGGTTACCTTATGCCCTTCATTAAAATTGTCAAATTTGTCTTGGATATTTATACTCTTGCATTAGATTGCAAACCCAATACGTATGGCATTTACCTTTCCTAGTTGAATTCAAATTTATCTGCATAAGCATACATAAGTCCAAAACATATTTAATACTTTAATTCTAACATTCCACATCTCACTCAGTGTACACTTTACAAATGATAGGAAATATATAAGCATTTTGTGCCTAAACTATTTGGTTTTAAAGAATTTTATAACCATGTTTGCAAAATTTAAATTTAAATATTTGAACTTGGAGCAAGTCATTACAGGTAGAGCAAGATGCTGAAAACCATATTGATAAATAGATCACACCCTTGATAAAATATTTGCATTCAGTTGCTAAGATTGTGTTGAATTATATGGAAAATTTCCATAATCCTGTTTATTACAGATACATGTACAATGCATATTTTCCCTGCAATAATAAAAATACTTCTGAGATGTAAAAGAATGGATTAAATAGTCACCGATATTTCATGGAAATCACAAACTTAGTTTTGAAGCCGATAAAACAGTGTCGCAGCAGAAAACTCAGTTACAAGTACAATGAATGAATTCGTTGTATCAAAACTTTAAAATAATTGATGCACTATGTCCAAATCTTTTCGACAAATCGGGATAAAGATATTAAATCAAATCATCACTGTTACAAGTCTTAGAGCTAGAGAAAAGTCATTACATGCCCAAATTTTACATGTAAGACTTTGATCCTATATTTCAATAAATGTCAAAATGGTTTTATTTTTGTTTTTGTTCAATACTTTCTTCTTCAGGGTCTCTCATGGCCTATACTGTATGATACCTCCATTGACCCTGCTCTTTTATATTGCCATATGTTTATCCAGTAGCAGTGGTTAGTCTCAGGCAATCTTTGTAATATTCCTCATTTCATGCATGTCCTTCAGTTCTGCCTCTGTCCATTTTATTCATTCTGCAATTAGATAAAGGCATTTCTTTGCCGTATAAAACATGTTTTTCTTGACTACAGCAAGATCACCCTTTATGTTGATCAAACCCAAAGAAGAAGTAGAAGTATATTTCTTATCCAGAAATATGTATTGATAAATAAAATGGAAGAAAAACTAAATTCTATCAACTCTTTTTTTTCTTCTATGTCTATGCATCTTCATCCTACCCCCATCCGCCATAATTTTATCAAAATGGAATCATCATTCAACACACAAAACGATGTTGCATATTAATTAGACAGTATTTTAGTTTCTGATTGTTAAGAAGGAGATTTTAAAAAGATTTTACACCTATTCCTTGCAAATTTTAGACTTCTAATGTAACACTATCAGTACATTAGGGGTACATAATCTTCAAAAACATCTCTACACTTAATGATAAAGCTTTCACATTAGTATTGTTTTTAGCCCAATGGTTCTGCTAAGGAGGATTTAAAATTGACCAAAACCTTAATAACTGCTTTGAAATTATATTGACAGGGACAGAGACACACTTGACACTCCATTCCCCCTTCTTGGGGTATGCTTTGCACAAAATTTAATTAAAATTAACTAAGCTGGATAGAAGTTGAAAATATTAAAAATTACAGTCAAACAGATTATGAATAACTTTCAGCACATCAGACATGAAGTAGTGATCCTTACAAAAAATACACCTACAAGATGAAGCTGTTTTATTCCTTTGAAGTGATACCTAGTATTGTTTTTTTTCCTGTATGCCACCTCTATCAGAACAAAATGTTATACATGTATTAACATAACCTTTGACCGTATAGTACCCCAGTATTTAATTTACAATTAATATGGTTCTGGAACCTACCCTCAGTTGCCCTTTAAACAAATGATTCTAAACTGGCAATGGTAAAGGGCATCTAAAGAATTTAACATAAAATGATAGTACAAACAAGCAAACAGCTAGTGTGCATGAAAATGTTGGCAAACACTAGAAAAAATACTAAGGTACTTTCTCAAACTTAACATGAATACTAAAGAGGTTTTATGTAGCTGTATTGCACATACCAAAAGCTTTCCTGCAGTTAAAGGTTGGTTGCCTAGTAGCTATGTAGTATGTACAAGTTTTTCATTCTATCTCATCTAAATTAAGAAGCAAAAATGTCTCTAAAAATCTTATGGTTGGCATGAAGTATTCCTGTTCATTGTACTGATTACTTACAATTGTCCTATTTCTGAGGGTCATCTTCTGATGGGTGTGTTCTCTGCAATGTTCACTATTGAAGTTCCTGTTTGACCTGTTACATATTGAAAATCCTCAATGAACATAATTATGGTTTTAATTTCCATTGTAATTATTGATTACTTTAAAAAAAAATCTAGACAAATTTATTGTAACATAATGCTTAGGAAAATATTTATGTAATATCAATGGAAAAAAGGAATCATTATCTCCAGTTATCCTAAAATCACAAGTAAGCATTAATCATATAAATTCACATACGTAAACCCATTAGCTTTTTGTGCTATCAAATCATAGCCATCGCTGTGCAATAAAGGAAATCAAGTACTAATCCACAGCTTGGTGGCAATAAAGTTACTATCCCCGAGTAAAAAGTGACAAGCCCAAATATAGAGGCAAAAATTAAAAAGTAACATTGAAAAAAAAGTTCATCGTGAAAAAAGTCAGGGTATTAACTACAGATGATTCTTTTTAAAATTAAAGTTTAATTTAATTTTCGCTAGTAGAATATAATCATATATAAATTAATGATTTAAAAAAAATGAAAAAAAGATTTTAGATATTTCTTTTCTGGTCATCCACTAGTTCGTCTAATTAAAACGAAGCAAAAATAATTTTGTTTTTATCTTGAATCATTTAAAGCCATATATGGCGTATGTACAATGAAAATTACTAGACTAAAAATATAAAAACTTATTATGTGTATCATTACTTTATATAAACATGATTAAGATAGAAATTTTCCATAAATTACAAAATCTAAGTCAATTGCATATCAAAATTTAATTTGGATTCTCGGAATTTTCTCTGACTTGGAAGAAAATACAAAAGATTTAAAAAACACATTACAGAGAAGATAAAATCGTATTATTAGATAAAACGATGTGTTCTCCGTGCTCCGAATTGTATGTAAAGCTTTAATTTAAATGTATTAACCATATTTCTTTACTTAATTTTGTATTTTTCAAAAATATATTTTTGATCAGTTACACCATATATGGCTTTAAAAAAACGCTACATAATTGCATGACACTTATCATTGAGCTGATTGAGTGAATGTATACAATTTAATAATGAGATATCTGCGAGGCATATATGTACAAGCAAATATTGCTATATTAAACAAAGGAAAGGGGGAATTCAAATTAGGAAATAAAAGATCGTTTTAAAGTAAATCAGTCTTGTAGTACTGCAAAATGGATGCAGTTGTAAAGATTTATGCATAATATTAGCATGCTGTCTGGAATATTTCCATATTAGGGAATTTAATAGCAAAAAAGTGTGAAAATACCGGTGGTGCTTTTCATGTATTACATGTGTATTTTAAAATTCCTAATAGCCCAAGGGGATTCCTCGGTGCAAAAAAACCACTAGCCCCATCCTCAAAAATGGAAGCCCCGGGTGTAGTGCGATGCTAATTACACACTCATCATGTGAAATAAATATAGTAGCCCTATATCAATTTCAGTATTGTTTAAAATTAATTAAAACAAATGACAAAAACGATAACTAAAAAAAAATCAAACTAAAGCAGACACTCAGTCAAAATCAAAGACAAAAAGAAGCACTCTTTTGACTGAAAGTTTTTCAGTAATACAATGAATCTCTTAAGTTACATATCAGATGAGATAAACTTACATACAATTATTTAGTTGTTGTCAATTATCCCATTTATCATCATCTCAGCTCACTTTGCGATTTTAATACTGTGTACATGAACCGATAATTTACAGCTGATTAAGTGATTTATGAACACACGATTGTTAAAATTTTCATTTCCCTTTTCAATATACATTGTAAGAACATACTTAGTTGGTCATGATATAAAATTAAAAAATAAACACTTTCGATTTATTAAAGATTATCTAACAATATACGATCATTTACTCAATACTTCTCGCCCTCAAGAGAGTTAAAAAGACAGAGAAAATTCAAAATACAAACAAGTGCAACTTTGGATTAATTGTTCCGATATATCTATTTTAATTTTGTGCACAATTGTTTTCAAAATTACATTAAAATCTATTTTCCTTAAACAAGAACCCAGCAATGGATAAATATTAATCGAATAAACTTACCTTTTCTCTTGTCAATCAGAAAATCTTGTTGACATTAAGTGTTTCTTAGTCGCCATATTTTTTTTCCATGAAAACAAACGTTGTTATGATCAGGATCAACGGAAGTTGATTTTCGGAACTCTCGAGAATTTAGAGTTCCGAATGTAAAACTGAAACAACAAAACACGGTGCGTCCGTGAAAGCAACTTTTTTGGACACTTTTTTGGACAATTCGTCGTGTCCAAGTTTTGTTGGGTACTAACCTGCAAATACCCAGTTAGGGTGTTTTAAGCATATTCAGCGAAACTTCTTATTGGGTATACCCAATAAGCAAAAAGTACCCAATAAGTACAATCTTGGCATGAAAAATACCCAATAAATGCACTCTCGTAAACACGGACGGACAGACAGACAGACAGACGGACGGACAGACAGAGTGATTACTATAGGGCACCCGCAAATCCTTGCGGGGCCCTAAAAATAATTCTCATTTAGGATAAAAATTTCAAAATTAAATGGGACAGATACGCTCTGAAAATATGGAAATTTAAATTATTTCCTTTTTTTATATGTCAATAACATTTATCAATGCATAACATTTTGATCTAATGTGATGGTACTCGAAAAACTATTTTTGGGGCCATATGTGTAATAATTGAATATCACCTCTGTGTGTCCATCCCCCATAAACGGAGCCTTCCTGACAACAAACTTCTTCTCCAACCTTATCATCAAACTTCTTCTCCATATTCAGCACCAGAATGAAGAACGCTCGAGGACTCAGAAAAATCTGGTGTGAGGCATAATATGAACACTGCCCTGCAAAGTCAGTCATGGTTATTTTTTTATCTGGATCTTCTGAAATATCTTCTGCACCTATCTGTAAATTTCCAGAAATTTCTGGACTATGACGAATATCTTTTCTTTCATTCATAACTTCTGCTACTTTTTCTGGTGATGTGGCCCCCTGTGGTTCATGGGATGAGGTAGGGTTAATGTCGATATTACCATGTGATATCTGTCCACTGCTTGATGCTTCAGTCGTACTGCCATCTTCTTCAACTGGTTTCATCTTTTCCTGCGTTTCCTCATCATCGGCTGCATTTTCTGAATGAGATTCAGGAACACTCTGATTCATATCTTTTTTATCAAGTCGAAGTTTAAAGTGTTGCTGTTGGCGTGAAGAATTTGCTGTAAATAAAAATGAATACAAATTTAACACTGTCTCCCTTTGTTGTCCCTGTACTTTATGAAAATATACTTTTATTCTACGTTATATAAATCCGCAAGTCACGAATTAAAATCTCAAGGTACTGAGAGTATCGAGCTCACAAAATGATATACCCAGGCAGCTTCCATATGAGTATGATGTTAAAGTCTTTGTTTTACTATTGAAAAACCAAATATCTGTCCAATCTTAACATCAAGAATGCAGTACGGAATGACAGTATGTAGTAAATATTATGTGAAAGTGTCATTTAACTTTATTAAGTTGTACAGGTTGAGTTGCAAATTTGAGATGGGTACCACCAATATAATGGTAGTTTCTATGTTTTGCATTAGGAAACCAGAAACTTGTGTCCATACAGAGAGTAAAACAGAAAATTTAAAATTTCTCTATATAACAAAGATTCTATGAAAATTTCATGCATTTTATTAAGTAGTAACAATTTTTATTCAGTGGTTAATGGTAATGAAGAGTTGTAAGAGTATGAGTAATAACCCAAAACATAATAAACGGACAGATGGAAAGGTGGATAGGAGGACAACCTCAACGCTATTAAACACCCTACTTTACAAGCAGACAAATAGGGGTAGAGGGGGAGGTGGTGCTTCCACATAAGTTTCAGCTTTTTTTGCATTGTGGTTCTTGAGAAGAAGATTTTTTAATGACCCACCCTATTTTATCTTTTCTTAATTATCTCCCCTTGTATGGTAACCTGGCCCGTCAATTTCACAATTGAAATTTCTCTTCACCCAAGGATGCTTTGTACCAAGTTTGGTTAACATTGGCTGAGTCGCTATTGCGGAGAAGTCGAAAATGTGAAAAGTTTACAGATGGACAGACAGCTAGACGGACGATGGACAAAATTTGATCAGAAAAGCTCACTTACACCTTCAGCTAAGGTGAGCTAAAAATACCTTGGATGCTTTCTTTCACATCAAACACATCTGTGTGAATATCGACTCCTCTAGTTGACCTGATATTTTTCTTTATTTTCTCCAGGTCAATGCCCTTCAGTCTTTCTAACAATGTTGTTTTCCCACTTCCAGCACACCCTATTATCATCCCAGAGGCATGGTACATGGTTGTCTTCCCTTTCTTTAAATTCTCAATGAAATTCGTCACTGATTTGTCTCCCCTTAGGATAATCTGCATTGGTATTCCAACTATAATGACAAAACTCTAACATTACAAAGCTGTGACGGAGTCAAACAAATGATTATAAACAATCATAAAAATAACCTTCTATCATGGAGATTTTTTTATCCCTTATCAGAATGGCAATTAAAAATAAAAGTAGAAAAGAAAGATTAACATTTTTATCTTGATTAAATTAGGCTTTCTAAATTTAATTCCCTGGTTCTCAAAACAATTTTCTCCATTGACCATAGGCCAACAGATGCAACATAATAACATTAAATTTTTCATTTTATAGGCAATAAAGTTTTAAATGAGACAAGTATTTTTTTAATTTTAATTTCCGAATTTTCTTTAACATAAAGATAATTTTTTTAATCACAGATATACTTTCCATTTCTGGTCAAAATTTCTGCTTTATCCATTGCTTATCAGCGTTCTAAACATTGTAGGTAATGTCCTCAAATGTATTTTCAAACATCAATGTAAGGATTAGCCAAAATTTCATTGTAAATGGCTACCGGAAGTGATATTTGAATACTAAACTACAAAACAAATGAGGTTGGAATTTTTTCCCGGATTGGTCTCCGCAACGCCAACTTTTTATTTTATCAAAATACAATAAAATCGGCAATGCGGCTACCTCAAAACGGATGCGCACGGGCTTGAGAACCAAGATTTCAATTTTATAAGGCCTTAGAATACCTTTACTGTTAAAACAATACTCAGCATTATACTTTTTAAAACATAGGTCTGTTTGTCTAGCAATGAAAGCCAATTTGCAACATAATAACATGTTAAAATTTGATGTAACACAAACTGAATTGCGTACTTAATTGACAAAGTTTTAAATGTGACAAGCATTGCATTCTGACTAATTAAACCATGAATCAATAGTTGCATATAAACTGTCTTTAAAAAATGCATAAGTTTTGCAAATTCTTAAATGTATCACTTCTCAAATTACCCAACAGTATTTTCATCCAAGTTTAATTAAATTCTAAAAAAGAGATCCCATGAGTACAGTCTACAGATGACAAAAGGCCTAGGACTCTAACCATTCTTCAAACATGAATGGCTCAGGTGAGCTGAGTGTTTATCGTGTTTGACTTGGGACATCAATGTAAAGGATTAAAAGAAAATAAAAAGATCTGAAAGTTAAGTTATTGATGAAATCACGGACAAATAATATACATATTATTCATTAGCCAAAAACTTCTCTTGTTAAATTTTATGAAAGTAACTAGTTCAGGTGAGCTGAAAATAGACTTACGTTTTCTAAATACAGCTTCATTAAATGACTGGTCCTCCATTGTTTGGTGCATGAAAATATCTTCTCCAAGTTTTTCTAAAAACTCCTCATTTTTTTCTGGCAGCAACCAACAGCAAACTTCATCCTCTCCTCTCCGATAATTCCAGGATCTACAGTACTCGTGTGCAATGTTTTCTTTTTTTGCCCAACTTAAGAAAATATCAGCAGTGTTTATTGTTAAACTTTAATTATTTTACTCTTTGAAAATTTAAGGAAACTAATGTTTTTGAAGCAGACCTCATTGGAAAAACTGATCTCTGATTCATTGAGTTTCAGAACTGGTTTGTAATTTTCTAAATGTGTATTGACAAGTGGCTTTTTGATTTCCTTTGAGTTAAAACTTTTGGCAACAGCATTATATTTGGTCATCCAGTTTACTTCTTTCATGTTTATTTTGTAGGAATTGGAAAGAAGAAGACACATCAATAGTGTATCTCCATCTACAAAATAACGAGAAATATATAATAATGTACAAAATCGGAAATACACACTGAATGTATTTACATCACCAGCTGCTAAAAATTTAAAACAAATTTGAGTAAGTTTCCTATTTATATCTGCATTATACAGATTACAGATCTTCTTACATTGATTCAAATGTTTTTTGAAAAAAAGGGGGGTCAGAGTCACCCATGCAACACAATTGAGGTTGTTTTTCAACTTGTTGATTGAGAAATGATTTGAATTTTCACCACTAGATGATTAATTTTATGTGTATTAGTCATGCCTCTGTACAAAACCCGAATCTTTTAGCCTCTGTACAAAAATTCAATTACATTAACAATTGTGTAAGTTTTTCCCCCCTGGAATCATAACATCAAATTTATATACTAAAGCAACAAAAAGCAAAAAAAATTACCTTGGACCCCCCCCATTGCATTTCACACACACATTTAAATGTGAATTTGTGTTAAAAGAGTTGATGTTTTAGAAGTCATGTCCCCCCTCTCCTACAAGATAGGTTTTTAAGATTTGGCAAGTTTATGGGGTTTATTTACTTTTTATTTTATTATTTTTTTTTCTTTGGCCTTCAAGAAATCACAGGTTGGAATTTTTTTGGACTGGGAGATAAAATATCCCCCTGTGTGGTCCCCCTGGGTTTTATCCAAAAAATTTTAATCATAACTAAATGGATCCACACCTGGCCTTATCAACTCGCTTAAGTGACCTTACATAACGGTCAACACAATAATCATTGTGTCCTGTACACACTTTCCTGTTTTCCTATCACAAGTTTTGGGAGGAATCTGGGCAAAACATCTGCTAAATGGACAGCTAGATGGATAATACTGTAAATGTGAATTTGTGTTGAAAAATTGACCATTTTTTGTTTACCAAAATTGATTTCCCAAGTGTTAATTTTGAAAAATATTTAATCAAGAGTTTCAAATCCTTGAATTACGGATACAAAGGCAACGATTTGATTAAAATTTAGCTTTTGTACAAACTATGTGTGTAAGATTTGATTATAAGTTTTTATATATTGTAATTATTTTATTATAAGCAACAAAAACTTTTGCTAACTGGATCAAGCAAAAGTGGCCAGTGGGTTTTTTATGTTACACATTAAGTATTTGAAGTACACCCCCCCCCCCCCCCTCCTTATGGATTTTAAAAAATTTTTGATTATAATATATCACTATTTTTTCATTTTACTAATTACAAAAGAAATTTTTTCTTTGCTTGTCAAAAAATTTCTAGGTTGGCCGAAAATTTTTTTGGAGCGGTAAAGTTGTAACACACATGGTCAATTCTGTGTCGCTATGTATATGATAAGAAGTTTGACTGTAAATTTTGACCTTAAAATAAAACACACATAATCATTGTGTCCTGTAATACTTTCAGTGTTTTCCTAAAAGTTTTGGTCTGGGCATATCTGCTAAATGGACAGCTAGATGGATAAATAGACAAGGTGATTCTATAATTTATATACCTCCCAATATTTGGTTAAAGACAAACCTACCGGCAACAAGGCAGCCTAGAAATTTTGATTAGAAATTTATTTCTTTCGTATTTAGTTCAGATCATTAAAGGTAATTGTAATTAATAAACATTTATGTGATAATCAAAGTAGAATGATAATTTCCATTGAAATTTCTAAAGAAGGTTCAAACTCATACCTTCTATCTCGTGAATGCTGTCAAACAATTCCTTTATATTTCTAAGGTCATGTCTGCTGTGATCCTCAGAGCTGGTACACTCCACACACAAGGGAACACCACACGGGGTACAGAACTGGTCCAGGGGAATTCTGGGATGTTTCTTACATTTGATGTCCTCCAGAGGGACTCCTGTTCGAAATTTGCCTTAAAAAAAAATTATTGTAAATACTCCGAATCTTTATTAATATTCATGAAGCAAAGGCAATTTGGTAAAATAAAGATAAACATTCACAATCAACACACTATTCATCAAAATGTACTTTAGCTAAGAACTGATGATCTTAACCAAAATCACAGGACCTCTAGAACTGCTTAGAGTTAAAATATGCCCCTGTGTGGTATGCAGCCCTAAAGAATGATTTTGTAACATAACTCCACTGAAAATTCACTGAGTAAGACATACTCTTACAACCCCTGCCCCCAACAAAAAAAAACCACAACACAGTGACATACATACATATATGTGGGTGGATGTAATTAAAAATAAAAACAAACCAACAATTTTCTCATAGATTAAAATAAGTCATACGAGACATCTAACTTTGCTATAATGTAAAATTATTGATATAACTTGAAATAGTACAGCCATATATTACCCCCCTCCCTTCCCTAAGCATCAACACTTAGTTAAAAAAACACAAAAATCAACCCTACATATCTCTGTCGGTGACCTTCAGTGCTTGTAACAGTGTACAGTATTTCCTCCTTCACATTGACAATATCTTGCACTTACTTTTGATACTGGCAGTAATCATAAAATATTATTTCTAGTAATAATGAAATATTATTTTTAGTAATAATAAAATAATTTAGTTTTATGGACCAACTTTTTTGAAACAAAGCAGGAGGCTAAGTTATGTTTTTATCAGGAATTCTTTTCACACTTATAATGAAAAGGGGGGTAACTTGATTTTCTTCTTCAACTTCAAATACAAAATTGAATTGTCTCCCTTCCATTAGCAAGCCACAGCAGTTACATTCAGGCTTATTCTTTGCCAATTTTTTAATTTTGTTCATAAAGTTGAAATGAATCTTAAACTTTACTATGGATTTTAAGTTTGAATACTGTTCAATTATTTCCATATTTCATCTAGAAGTTTCTCATACACAAAATGTCAACCCAGTACACAGTGTAGATTTACTGAACACCTGCTACAGAAATACACAACATTCCTAGACAGAGCTGTGTTAATATCAATGGTGTCTATATCTAACTGTCAACATCAGTACAAATTGACATGTGATCTAAATGTAGACTTACTTTAAGTGAATACATTATAAAGGACATTGTAAAAAAAAAGATGTTGAAATTTAATCCGCTATTTCTCAAAAGTGATCATGTTACCATGTTTACACTAAATTTACTTTAATATCGAACAAAACAGCACAAAATTTCAAAAGTTGAAAATTACTCCAATGACAGTATATGGTACATGTATCTATAATTCAAAGCCGGTCTATCAAACAAATATATACTAGATGTATGAATGTACAGCAAGATGTTTCTGAGATAAAAATTACAAAAAAGTTTGACATAAGATTCAGTGTATATAGAGTTCAATGTACATGTAACAATCAGTGATTGAAGAGTTACACACAACATCTTACAATTAATTACAGACTGGAAGTAAATCTATTATTACTTTTTAATCTATTAACATCTTTATAGTCATCAACTTCATCTTTAACAGCTTATATTTGTTGTTTACACAATGCACAGTCATTTCTGATCAAACTATACCATTTGTAAATAAACACTACATGTAAAGTTATTCTTAAATGACCTCTCTATTATAATGCAGTTATTTAGTACTGGTATTATATTATTGTACAATACAATACAATAAAACAGACTACATTATTACTTACCAGTCAGAGAGTCTGTATCTACCACTCTGTATAGGTTGACTGTTTTGTTGTTGTATGACCCTACCCACAGTAGGTGTGTGTCCTCATCATAACTCAGGCCCCGTGGATTGTATATCCCGTGTTGTTGTGTCTTTATCTCTGTCAGATAGTGACCCTCACTATCTAACATCTGTACTGAGTTGGTCCAATAATCACACACCAGGATGTGTGACAGCGCGTCAGTACAGATTCCACGTGGTGATAGTCGGGATCCTGATGGAGGACCTGTGTAGGAGAATCGGTAATTACCGTCACGATCTGTCACCATTACAGCTTCACGGTTAAAGTCAGACACAATAACATCTCCATTGCGGTTCTCTGTGATGTAGTGAGGATATATATACAGTCCCTGACCTGTGTTGTTGTAGTGCTGTATGGTCTGGATGTTTTCTCCTGTGGAGTTATACCGCACTACCTTGTCTTCTCTCTCTCTGTCATCTCTATACATCGTGACCAGCAGGTCTCCAGTGGAGGGGGAGCTGTAGACACACACTGGTCTCCATGGTGATGTGTTGTACTTTATTATCGTAGTCTTTTCTTTGTTATCTTTAGACAGTTTAATGATGTTTAATTCACTGTCTATATAAATTAGATCACCATAAAAATTCACAGTGTGTCCTCCCCATACATTACTACCTATATCTGTCACGTGATCTAGTTCTTCCCCTTTAGTGTTTGTCAGTATAAGATTGTCATATCATCACTGATCCAGACCCGGTCTGATGTAACACGTGAAATGTGACGACAATCACTAGCACCAGACACGGTGACAGATTTCTGGTACACTCCTCTATACATTATTTACAGCAGACATCTATTTCTTTATCCTGATGTTTTATAACAGAATCCCGTGTGGATTTCCTCAGTCAGGGAGATCTCTCTGTAAATTACAACATTGTAACAGAATTATCTACATCAGTTACACGTCTCTCTGTAAACATTAAATGTTTTAGATCAATATTTTATCTTAATATACTTCTTATAATTAAATCTAGAACAATAACTTGTCTCTGTTCACAATTAATCAAATTAACACAAATATATAAAAACCTTAACACTGGGTTCTGAATTCTTTCATTGTCTCTGTGAAGTGCAGGGTCCAAGTATTCACAATGGAAGTTTATCTAAAATGAAGATATTGATAGATTAAAACATACCATGTATTCATAATAAAAATACTGAAGATTATTAAAAATATCATAGATTATATACATTGTAATATGAAAACATGTCTGCCATTTTGTGTTTATACAATTTATATAATAAAATATCATCTTAAATCACAGTAAAATTTGATTTCCTTCAATATAATCCACACAATGTATGTGACAATATTGTGCAAAATTATTAAATGTAGATTTTTGTGATGATGTGCCACACACACTTTAAACATAGGTTTGATCTACAGTGAGCTTGTGTTTATGTGTGTATCCACAGGGTGGGGGTCCACCCCGTTAGAATTAGCAGAGTACTAAACCAACTAAAAGTGACCTTGGAAAGTTGTAGATTTAGGAAAGGAGTTATTTTTTTTCTTTTTTTCTTCCTTGTGAAGTAATTTCTTTTTTTGACTGGAGGTGGAACCCCCTCCCCCCTCCCCTGTAAAAATATTTACACATGGGGCATAACAAACAAAGACAAGAAATGATAGCAATAAGTCAACTTAATGATTCACTAGACCTAAAAATCAAATGATGGCTTTTTTGGAATGATTGTTTGATTTCAGCTATTATCAAAAGTGCATCTAGTATATTCTATGATACAGAATGTAGGGTATATATGATTTTTTTTCTAACCTGTAAGAAGTTGATTTCTTCACTTTCTTCTTTACAACTGCATATCACCTTATGAAAATCTGTCAAAAGAAATTCAAAACATTGGTTTTTCTTGTATTTATCAATACATATATGCTCTTTTTAACCATTTTATTGGTGATAAAGTACACCAGGAGTTATTTTTTAATACCTGAATTTTCTAAAAAATAATATGATAAGCCATAAAATTATTAAAACTTTGAGTTAAAATGATAAAAAAACAAGAGACCCAAGTGCCACACCGCTCACCTGATTACTCTGGTAATGCAGTTCCTTACCAGAATTCCCCTCTTCTTATGTCTATTGTGCCCCCTACCGCCCCCTCCCGCCACCACCATCCCCATCTTGATTTTAATAATTTAGAATAAACACTACCCAAGGATGCTTCCACATAAGTTTCAGCTTTTCTAGCCAACTGGTTCTTGAGAAGATTAATGACCCCAACCTATCAATCTGATTAAAATCAGATCCTTTGATATCACATAGATCGCTTTGGATCTGAAGAAACCCCATTCAGGTATCTCCTGGTGACCTCTCTCATAAAAATATTCATATTCATGAAAATTTTGACCAATCAGAGAGGTCGTACTTAAGCGACATTCGGGTAAACGAAATTAGAAGTAAAAGAAGCTGAGGAGAAAATCTTATAGTTTCATAAAAAACAAAGAGCTAACAAGAGGCCCAGGGGTCACATCGCTCACCTGAGCACTGTGGCTAGGAAAAAGCAGAATTGGTTAATACTTGAAAAGCTTAAATCCTAAAGTAGTCCAAAGACCAATCATGGCTTTGCTATTCTTGAAAAGAAGACTTTTAAAGAATTTTCCTTTACATTTCTATGTAAAACTTTGGTCGTCCATTTTGGCCCCGTCCTACCCCTGGGGGTCATGATTTGAACAAACTTGAATCTACACTACCTGAGGATGCTTCCATATAAATATGATCATTTATGGCTTTGCTATTCTTGAGAAGAAGATTTTTAAAGAATTTTCCTATAAATTTCTATGTAAAATTTTGCCCATGGGTCATGATTTGAACAAACTTGAATCTGCACTACCTGAGGATGTTTCCCCATAAGTTTCATCTTCCCTGGTACATTGGTTCTTGAGAAGAAAATTTTTAAAACATACCTTTAAATATTTATCAATTTAAAATCTCCCCTTGAATGAATTGAAAAGTTTGAACAAACTTGAATCCCCTTTACCCAAGGATACTTTGTGGCAAGTTTGGTGGAAATTGGCCTAGCTGTTCTTGAGACGAAGTCGAAAATGTGAAAAGTTTACAGACAGACGGACAGACAGACAGACACCGGACAAAATGTGATCAGAAAAGCTCACTTGATCCTTCGCATCAGGTGAGCTAAAAAACAAAACAAATGCAAGTACTTATTATATTACTGTACAGAAAAGACTGTGGTCCTTCTTTTGACAGGCTACAGAAACTAGGTCACGATTTTTCCATTTGTGTATCATCGGGCCTTTTCCCTCTGTAACTAAATTCCGAGATACTTTCCAATTCTCCTAAGTAAACATTTGATTTGATAATTCAAAGGTCACCAGGAGATGACCCCTAATGGGGTTTCTTCAGATCCTTGTGAAGCGATCTATGTGAGCGGATCAAAGGATCTGATTTTAATCAGATTGCCCTATCTATTTTTGTCTTTTCTTGAATATCTCCCCTTGGGAGGGGACTAGGCCCTTTATTTTAACAATTTAAAATCCCCATCACATAAGGATGCTTTGTACCAAGCTTGGTTAAAATTGGCCCATTGGTTCTTGAGAAGAAGTTGAAAATGTGAAAAGTTTACAGACTACAGACTTCAGACAGAATGTGATCAGAAAAGCTCACTTGATCCTTCGACTCAGCTGAGCTAATAATGGAATAAAAATTCTGTGTTCATAGAATATACTTTCCATGTATGATCTATAAGTTCGCATTATCTATTGCTTATCTACATGTAAATATCTTAGGCATTACATGTACCTTGAATGTATTTTTAATTTTAAACCTCTTTATGGCTTTTAACAAATTTATGACTACCCTACCAGAGGATATTTACATAAACATAACTCATTTGGGATTTGCAATTCTTGAGAAGACTTTTTTCCCTATATACTCCTATAATTTGTTTGTCCATTCTGGCCCCATCCTTCCCTTAGGGCTCATGATTTGAACGAATCTACGCTACCTAAGGATGATTCTACATATGTTTTATCTTTCCTGGCCCAGTAGGTGTGACCCTTCAATTGAACTTAACTCCCCTTCACCCAAGGATACTTTGTGCCATGTTTGCTTGTAGTTTGTCCAGTGGTTTCAGAAAAGAAGATGAAATTGAGAAAAATTGACAAGGACGCTCACAACGACGACAAATATTGGACAAATTTTGATCAAAAAAGTCACTTGAGCCTTCGGCTTAGGTAAGGTAAAACTTATATAAACCTGTATAGTGGGGATGAGCTCTTCTTTTCCAAAGCTACACTTTAAAATACATCATCTGGATCTGGATCCTGTCAAAAATGAGTAAATGACATAAATTATTCATTTTACTTTTCAACATGGCATACAGAACATTTGAAGGTTTCAATTTTTAGTGTACATGTTTCTTTCAAACTTTTCTACTTCTTCAAAATAGAGAAGCTGTGAATGAGCTAATAAAATAAATTTGAGTGTTTGACATTGGTGCCCTTTTTTGTGATTCCATTCTATTTCTGTCCTCATAGGCCATGATTGAACAAATATTAATCATTATTCAGTTTCAACTTTAACAACAAACTATTTTATTTTCGCTATTTCCTAAATATATGTATATCTTATATATCTAAGGACATGCAGTTCTAATTTTGAAAATTCTTTAAAATAAATATTATCCTTCAATATTCAAAGTTATTCAGAAACCTGTGGATTAGCTTGCAATCTTTATTTTCTTCATCCTTTAGACAGTTATACAGCACATCCTGGGAAATCTGTCAAAATAAGATCAGTACATTTAGTATCTATTTTTGTACAACAACCTTAGAACAGTAGGGAAAGGTTTTTCTAAGTTGTAAGAACTTGTTACCAATCCCTTTGGATGAATTGTACAATAAGATATGTTCAAAACAAAACAAGACAAGAACAGTACCTTATGGTTAGATATAGATATATAGTATGTAATGCAATTGTTTTTAGACAGTAAAAAAATATCCCTTTGACTGATTTTTAAGACTGTAGCGTATTTCTTTATCTTCTTCAAATATAATTTAAAAGAAAAATGTAAACCTGATGTAAACCTGTACATGATGGTGATCATCTTCATAATTCTCTATAATGTTGACATCACATTCTGCGGTAGCTGTCAAAATTAACAAAACAAATTTTAATAAAACAAAACAATTGTTTCTTCATGAAAACAGTACAGAGTTACGGTTCTTAGTAAAGTGACACCCCATGCCAGACTGGGGCCATAGACTTTACCAAAGGAAATGTCAACATTCTAACTGGAATGCTGTTTGTAAGATTTTACCAGAGTCAATTCAATAGCATGGACGGAGACAGAAATATATGTAGAGACAGTGTGGACCGACACTTAAGGTGAAAATGAAATAAATACATGTTTTTAAACCCAGAAAGACCAGTAGGGATACAACGTTAACAAACCAAAGTTGCTTACCTTTCTCTCTTATAATGTACATAGTGGGGTATTTTTTTGTTGAGCGATTATTTTGGGGTTTTGACGATTTATTCCTATTGCAAACATGTTGAATAAGTGTACTAAATATAAATTGTGAAAAAATGTCAAATACTCCCCGGGGTTGAATATCGGAGGGGGGGGGTCTCGTCTGTCAGACATAATTCTCACTAGTCTCAGACTTACAGACAGGAGTTAATTGCCTGGTACAGGACGGGGCCA